CCCAGAATTTAAGTTTGTGGTGCAACCCTTCAGAGGACAAATTATGTTTTAAATGCTTCGGGGGTATCAGTTGGACTACATTTTTAATGACAGTATCTCCCCAAAACTATATAACAGTGTATATATTTATATATTCTATTTTCTTGCTGAATTGTTCATTCCTGGACTGTATTCAGGGGCTACAAAATTCAATTGTAAAGGGTGAATGCATCCGTGTGGAGGCAAGTTAACTTTACAGCCACAATTGAAACTCTAAAGACAAATGATGCTGCTTACTGTGATAAGAGCTTGGACACGAGGAGATGTTTTTGAATGGGTAAATGCATTAGTATAAAAGAATATCCACTTTATCTGAAATAAGAATTTGACATTAGAAACAAATTGCATACATAAGTATTGACTCAGTAACTTCAACTTCTTACTTTTTTGTGTCATAGAGTTTTTTGGGTTTCTATTTTGTGTTTTCATTATTCAGAAAGTACATAATCACCTAAAAATTACATATTAATTAAGAAGTATGCAATACATGTCTAATATGTATACCACAGTCTGCTAAGCATTCTGGAAGATGTAGGGAAGTTTGAAATTGTACCATAGAGGAATTTACATGATGTTGGAGAAATGTGCACAGAAAAGGTAATAAGAAGTCAGTGTGCAATTAAGTGCCAAAACCAAGACAATTATTGCCTGAGGGATTTAGGGGGAAAAAAAAACTGTGATGCAGTGGGTGAGAGGTCATTTCAGGTTGGTGAACAGTTTGAGTCAAAATTCAGAGGTGACAATGACTAAAGTACACTCAGAGCTATGGCAAGACTGTTTGGATGGTAAGGGGAAAAGCCCCAAACCACACACTGGATTAAGCAAGAAGCTAATTTATTATTTTACATAACCAGAAAGGTCTATGGGTAGGATCTGGTTTGTGTGATGGATGGATTTGTTCAAAGCTTGGTTTCCTTTTGTCCTTCAAATCTGCTTCCAAGTTGTTTTTAATCTTAAATCCACATGGTATCAGGATGTGAGAAGCAGCTCCAAGCTGGGGTTCTTTGTAAAAGTGAAATCCCAGCAAAAGGTCTCACTGTGTCCTATGACTAGGTAGTGTCCCCATCTGAGCCAATCATGGCTGTCAGGGAATGAAGTTAACTTGGGCTTGTTCCTAGGTTACAAACCCACTCCTGCCCCATCCCCAGAGATGGGCGAGGGTCACCTTTACTGGAATCATAGAGTATGGAAGTGAAGAGGTGTTCAAAGGGAAATTTAAAAATGGCTAATAGAGGTAGCAGAGTAAATGGATTCTGTACTAGAAAATCCAGTGTCTGCTCAAAGGGAGACAATAAGCCAACTGATGTCACAGAATAATTGTGAGTAATAACAGGAACTAGACACTGGAAGTTTTCATTGTAAGCACATTGCCAAGGTTAGGAGAAGGAATTGGACTTTATGAGAAATTGTAAATAAATTGAACCTTGTGGAAATTGACCTGTCAGCTGTGTTCAGGAGGTACTTGGGGTTCGGTGCTCCAGAGAGAAATCGGTGACCTCTGTGGGACTGTCCAATATTTTAAAAGCCACAAAGTTTATAGAGTATCTGTTGTGTGAACTGTGGAGAATACAGAGAGGATGCCCAAGACTTGATCTTTCAAAGAAGCCTACAGTGTGGTGAAGAAAACAGACTTGATTGTGGAGGCAGGATGCAGAGTAATAGCAGTATGTACCAGACTGTTGTAAAAACAAAAAAGGAAGAACTTTCTAAAATGAACCAGTCCACAGAGCTGAGAATAGAGTAGCCCAGGGAGCAGAGGCCTGTGGACAGAGAAACCCTTTCCAACATCTTTGAGAGTAAATCGGTTGGGATCACTCAACGTTAGTCACAGTCTTTTTTGAGACTATTAGGAGAACCTGGATGAGTAGGAAACTGCATCTCTGTCACAGAACAAGATCTCCCTAGGAGTTTACACTCCCTTAAATTTAGAATGGGGTTGGACTCAGTGGATCTTGACCTACTGTTCCTAAGAAAATTTTCTCTGATCAGCAGCATGGGAACACCCTTGTTTTTGGTCCTTGGTGTCCCTGTGGTCTTCTCAGCCCACTCTGGATGGAATTGGAGAAGTGGGGAGTTACTAGAGTGCAAGGACTTCATTTTATTCTGTTCCACTAGATTTCAGAGTAAATGGGAAGGAATTGCTTGAGCCTTCTGCAGAAGTGAGTTCTATTCCCAGTTAGCAATACAACATGGGCCAGTCTCTCCTCATGCCTGGGCCTCAGTTCCCTGACTGTGCAGAGCCAGCATTGGACAAGGAAGCATTATACAGCCTTTTTCGACTCTAAGTCTATAGATTTAATAGAAACAGCCACCTTTAATCCATGACATGTGCTCATGACCCAGGTATCTTTCCAGGAATAAGTGTCATGAGAATACTGGGAAACCATGCAACTGAAAGTTCAGGAGCATTTGAGCATGAAAGTTCATCTATAGAGGTGAACATTTAGAAAGCTGCTAACTAGCAAGTTTGGCAGGAGTGGGCAGAACTGACCATTTAAACAGGAACAGGACAAGAGTTCTCTGGTAGTGGGACAAGTAACAAAGAGAATATGATTGCTCTTCCAAGGATTTAAAGAAATGAAGGTGAAAATGAGTATAATGGGATCATCCAAGCATGGGCTCAATATTAAGGTCACCAGCTTCTGCATAAACTGAATTATGGTATTTGTGAAGAAATGTCCTATTTCAGTGACTGCAGCCAAGAGCGTGATTTGGATAACTGAGTGGATTTTCCTAAATATCATAAAATTGATAGGTATAGACCAAAAGGTACATCTATGAAGTCTATACAAGTGCAACAAGAAGAATGAAACATAGATGTCAATTTTAACAAGTCAGTTATTGAATCATTGAATGGAAAAGTATATTAAATATCAAGACAGTGCCAATGTAGTGAGGGAGGGAGGGAAAGTACTCTAGATTGTAATTTTGCATTCCTTTCTTGTGACCTGCAGTTACCTAATTTAAAAATACTCGTTTACAAAAAAAAATGAATAATTTACATTTATGGAAGTCTTGAGTGTTATAAAGCAGTTATACATCCATTTTACCTACAGCAACTCTTCAAGGAAGGGAAAAAAATTATTCCAGGTCCTTATTTAACAGATGAGAGAACTGAGTGAATGGTTCTCACAGCCAGTGACAGGCAGGACATGCCATTCCTGGCCACTGGCCCTGTGTGCTTTCCTTTTCCACATCTGACTGCCTGTGTTCACTAGTCAGAATGCAGCCCAACACCAGTGACTTTTTTTTCTTCCTCAAGAAGGTAGAAATAGAACTATTTTTATGACCAGGAGAAGAGTTTATATTACCCTTGGATTAACAACAGAATGCTTTTTATGTAAGTCAGACTAAATAGACATCTGTTTTTTACAAACATTCAACTCCACACAAACAGAACATGTTCAGTTTGCTTTGAAAGCAGAATACCATGTGTTGTAACTTTACAATGTTTTAAATAAAGTTAGGAATTTAGGTTTAAGATGCTGAAAATATCATAAAATCGTTGAGTATAAGACAAAGAACTATATATACGAGGGTCCTTAAAAATTCAACAAGTAGAAAAATCAAAGGTAGACATTTCAACAAACTAGTTATTGAATCATAGTATTAGCTATCTAGTGAAATGAGAAGTGAGTTATTAAAGTTTATTGTCCTTATTGGTTTGTAACACTGTTAGTCAGTGTGTGGATAGTTTTTAAAGTAGAACGGTTCAGGCTAATGAAGCCATTTACTATACTGGTTCTACACTCTGTCTCTATTTCTCTCTTTATTACTTCATTTTGGGACTTTGATTGCTCCGTTTTAGATCTAAGATTCTTCTAAATACTATACCACAACTGTATGAGGGGCTTAGTTTTCACTTTGTTCTCAGAACCAGGCTGGCTATAAATTTATCTCAGTTCTTTGAAGAAGCTAACAGTAAATTTTCAAGAGGAAAAAATGGAGGCATATATCCCTATAGAAGAAAAGTAATCTCTTAAAAGCAGAATAACCTCCAGGCTACAACCTTTTAAAGAGGGACTTTCAAACAAGCACGCCTTCGACTTTTATATGTGTTCTATATTTTTCTTCAGGCTTTGTACCTGCTCTTCTGCTTTCTGTGTAAGGTTTCGCTATAATGACCCCTTTCCTCCCCACACCCATTAAATCTGTGATGAAGTCATGCTGTTCTTCATTCTGATGTCGTAATAACTTCCAGAGCTATAGTCAGATAACATCCTGGGGATCATCTGAGGTTTCCTCTGGAAAATGAGGCATAGAGCTAGGAGTTGAAACACCTACAAAAGCGAATCACAGTTTTCATAAATGGCCACATGCTAGGATGAAAATGAACGTTGCCAAGTGAACTTTGCGAATGGAAAAGCTTCCATTTGGTTTAATTGCATTGAAAGCCATGCTCAATTTCAGATATTCAGACACTCCTCCTCATCAATAGATGATAAGATAATAGATAATGGTATTAATCATTTAAAAGTGAAGGGGGTGCTAAAAGAACAGGGTGAGCTTGTGGCTCTGTTTTCATGTCAAGCAACGTCATCACCTTTTCATCCTTATTATTCAGCTGTCCTCAGCTGCATGTTGATCAGGGCTGCCCGGGGAGCATCCCTAAACGCCACACACAAAAAGACTGAGACTACCATTTGCCACAGGGATGTCCCTGGCCAGCCTGGGAGCCACCAAGGGTAATAGATGTGGAGGTGGCAGAAGCCTGGGTAGGTCCAGGGAGAGTTCCAACCTGTGACATCATCCATCCTGCCTGTGTCTGCAGATGTCTAAGGAGCACCTTTTGTGGGAGCAAAGAGTTCCCCAACCGTGGCGACTGTTGACAAAACATGAGCCATAACGGACAGGTTAACTTGGCCAGCATATCTTTCCAACTTCAGGAAGTTCTAGAAAGAGTTCCTCCTGCCATTGCCTTCGGCCTAATTGTCCTCTTTCTCATTTTATGCCCCTGCTAGACCACCGCTCTTGATAAGGAGAGGCAGGTTTTCCGACGAAGACGCAACCAGGATGTGAGGAGCCGGTACAAGGCGCAGCCAGCTCCGCCAGAACTCAACTCGGAATCGGAAGACTACTCCCCGAGCTCCTCCGAGACTGTTCGCTCCCCCAACTCACCCTTTTAATAAGCCCCTTTTACTCAAAGTCCTAGCTTAACCCTTTGAGACTCTGAGATTTTTTTCCCCAAAATTTATGTGAAACAGTTTCATCTGATCTATCTAGCGCTCAATGCTTGAATGGCAGAAGAGAAAGTGTGTTTTCGGGTATCTTTGTAGCGATTTCCCTTTACTGAATGAGATGGCACGTGTCGTTTGTGAAGATGGTAATTTGCTGCTAATAGGGTCCTCAAAGGGTTAAAGCTAATTTGCAAATTTTTTTAAACATAGAAGCAATGAATGTTTTCATCAGTCAAGTTAGGATCTGCAGTATGTAATATAGCACATGTTAACCCTCTGAGTGCATAGAATTTTATTGAGAATCCTTGCTGGGGAATTTTTCAGGCCTTTGGATGTACACGCACATGTTTCTTGATTTTACTGCAGATCAAGGGGTGTTATTAAAATGCTGAAACGTCCAGACAAGAAGGGGATCTAGAATGATCTCTTGCTTGTCCTTTTCTGTGGGTTTAGAACATGGCAGGTTTATAACTTCAGCATATGCACCCCTCTTTCCTCTTCATGATCCTATTAGGAAAAGGGAATTTTTTTTTTCTTCTTTAGAAGTATAACCATCTGCTGCAGTGAGGCCTGCATGGTGGGGAGTGGAGGGAATTGGGTTTGTGGCAAACAGCCTGACCCAGGAAATTGTCGGTGCCCTCTCCCCACAAACTGTCTCCATACAAAGATGTACTGGTGACGCCTCAGAAATGCTGCTTCTACATCAGCTGCTGCTAGTGCCAGCACAGACCCTCCAGGGATCACCATGGCTTATCTTGTGCTTGGTGAGGGAGGGTCTGTCTGCTCAGTATCAAACATCTACAGGAAAGAAACAACTGGTGGAAAAGAGCAATAAATTGCCAGGTGCTCAATAAGGCTGGGATTTCAAATGGAAAGAGGAAAGAAGATCCTGTACATTTTCTCATCTGCTTTTTTTCATGGTTCTGTGGTCATCAGTGTGAAATCCACACATAGTATGAAATCCATTCATGGAAGAGCTGGGGCACAGTGGAGCTAGAGGCAAGGGATTTGCAAGGTGGCTGAGGAGAAAGCATGTAGGAACACAATCCAGAATGTTCTAAACCAATTCCATGTGCACCTTTATATAGTCTCTCTGGAAGAGCAGGATATAACACCTAGAAGATGGCCCTAAGGATAAAAATTCCATTCCCCAAGATGATTTTTCTTTTTAATATACTGCTATCATTAACCATGTGCGGAAACATTTGTTTTCCTGTCTTTGGACTAAGTCCGGTCTGAGACCCGAATTTCCACTCCTATTACCAAATCTCTCACTGGTAGGAGAAACTCCAGGCCTGGGTTTCTTCTGGAACATATCCCATTTCAGAACAGGGGATTACCATTTCCTGTTCATTACAGCAGAACTCAGAGAGGAGGAGAGGCAGGGTCCCAAATCAAATGTTCTCCTAAGATTTGCTCAGCTCTGTGATACAGAGAATAATCAGTGAGTGATATCTCATGAAATTTGCATCTGGATGGCTGAGCAGTACTTATTTCTTCAGTTTTGAATATGCTTTAATATCACAGAGTCTTAAAATTTCTGAATTACATTTCTATATTCAGTTCTTTGTTTCCAAATTCACACTGAACTTCAATTGCTACTTTTTACCCTTCAATACTTAAATTGTGGTCTATGCTCTGACAGATTATCAAATCACATCTCATTGCCTTTGCAACACAAAACTCCTAGGTTTTTCGCTCTTCCACTTTTACTAAGGGTTTAATTTTCCCTATCTCTCTCCTTTTAGACAATCCAGAAATTATAACACCTAAAATCATAGAGTAGCATAAACCAGCAAATCAGTTGATTTGTTTTTTTTTTTTTTTTTTGGAGGGGGGGCAAGGGGCACAAAATACCAGGAAATATGTCAGTGTATAGGTTGATTCCATTTTAGTAAAGAATACTGAACTGGTCTGAACTTACTGCTTTCTCTGAAATTATTAAGTGAAGTGCCGTTTCAAGGTGAAAGAGTAGGTTTTTAGCTTGGCCTCAACTCTAAATATGTGAATATAAAAAATCCTATGGCAGAGACCTACTTGCAGTAGATTGTTGTTTTCCTTTTTTTCCCCTCTGAATCCCCCCCACACACATGGGTGTAAAGTGTGTTGCTACAGTATTGAGTGTACAGAACCTACAATGCATGTCTCAGGCCTTTTTCCATTATCATCTAAGGGGAATTCTGGAGTGTTTCTCAGCATGCTGCAGAGAGGCAGCTCAGAAGAATGCAGGGACCATGCAGCATGAGGATCCCGATGCCTCCCTGTAGAATTGGAGTGATCTATGCTGAATAAACAGTGGAATGTGACCTGTCAAGTAGAAATATTGAGTAATCAGATGGAATGGAATCTTTCCAGCATTAAGCTACCAAGATCTCGAATGTCAGAGATGTACTCAGAGGGTTAATAGACAAGCACAAGGCATGCCGATGACGTTGGTGTATCCAGATTGCTTTGCTTTTAACCAGTGCTTTCTCATTTTTTTCTCGACATTCTTGGGATAGTTCAAGTTTGAAATAATTAAGTGGTGGTGTTCTTTAAGGAATTTCTATAACCAAATTGATCTTATTTTTTATTTCACTTATCATAGAACAAATATGTACCATTACGGCAGTGTATCTCCGTAATTACCAATTTATTCATCGCCACAAGTGTTTCCATATTTTTTTTCAGGTATTGAATATAGCTCTTATGGTGGTGGCCTGGTGATGGGAACTGTCTTTCCTTTACTGACATATGACCAACCATATGATATTTTCAAGGGAATTCTAAGATTCATCTTTTCAGTTCAATAGTAGACTAGCTGAGGAAGAACTCCTTCATTATTTGCATCGTGTAAATCATCTCTGTAGATGAGAACTGTTCATGTTAATGAACACATTTTTTTTCTCAATATTGTAGCAGAAATCATTTTATTCATCATGGTCAATGAATATGTGATTTGCTCCAGATCGTTAGAAGGAAAAGTAAGATTACAGTCATTGGAAATGTTTTTACCGTAGCCCTCATCTAACTTACACGTGGTGCATATTAAAATAAGCAGAAGGAAAAAATGTGAATAAACTACTGAAAACACTCCGTGTTTTGTATTCAATGAAACCTTCCTGCAACCTGCTCAGCACCCCCACCGGTGGTGGTTAACAGGCCCCTCAGATATTGTTGAAAGAAAGCAATATATCCATGAATGAAGGCTAAAATTGCAATCCTTTACCCTTTGAGGCATATTTCAGTTGAGGAAAAAAAAAAAAGAAAAATTGACTTTGAGGGTCACGGCGCTACTGTATACCAAGGCTCAAGCACATTAAATCACGGTTGTTTGCTGGCCAACGGCATCCTTTAGACAACTGTATTCCCTGAGTCGAAGCTGGATTGTGCTGAGGGAGAGCTTTCTTAATATTATTGTGTTGCCCCTAGCCCTTCTCTGGGTAAGGATCTGTCAGCATTTCCATGATAAACTCCTATTCTCAAAGGTTTTTAATTTGACCATAAAAATGTGCTCCAGGCCAAAGTTTGCTATACAGGGTCTGTACCAGAGAGTGAAGGTTCATTTCCCTCTCTTCCCAACTTCTTTCCATCTCTCCTGATAAAAGAAAGAAAAGAAGAAGAATCCAGTATGTGTTCTTAATTGTGATTTCAGAATTTTGTAAAATAACCAGATCCTGGATGATAGTTTTAACATCATTATTCATTTGGATGTATTTTCTTTGTTGTGGATGTTTTTAATGGATCACCTGGCATCCAATGTAGATAACGTATCTTTTCTATAATTAGTAAGTTATTCATTTTGTAAACGGCTACATTATTTTCTTTTCTTTTTTTTTTTTCCGAAGATTTTTTTTTTAAACTTGGTCAGTTCAAAGGTCAGCCTTTACCACACGTGTGATCTGCCATTTCCCTTAGGAGTTTGGGAAAATACACTCAAATAGACCCTTACTTTGCATGCAGTATAGAGGGTCAGATATATGCTTCTTTGGATATATGGATTTCCTTATTTAATCATCAAATTTCATGAAGCTGTTCTAGTCCAATGGGGAAAAATAGTGACTAAAAGCACTTCCAAAAGTAACATTTTTGGTCAATTCAAATGTGGATAGCATAAAATAATACATTTCACACTTTCTTTATTTAAAAGCAAATAAATCAATGAAACTTGAGGACACACTAAACATTTGATTACTGCAAAAGTGCTTTAAAAATTGGCTCAATGGTGCTTATGCATGGAACAGTTACAAACGGGTCCTTGGGACTGTCAGATGGAATCTCTAGTTTGTATGTAATTACACACTGAAGGAGGAGGTGCTTTTAAGCCAGTCTTTTATTTTTTAGTCATCTCAAATATGCAACCATCCATTCAGTAACATTAAGGGTCATAAACTGGTGGGAAACAGGAAATGCAGTGTAAAAACTTAGAATGCCTCTGGCTGGAGTGTCTTTGTTTGTTTTTCTGTTGCTGTTGGCTTCTACTCTCAGGCTGGTGTGGTGATTTTTTCAGTGAGTGAGCATCTAACTGGCAGGTGTTTTGATCATGAGGTTTGCAATATCTTGCCCATAGAGACAAATGAGAGATCTAGTTTCATTCTTTTTCCCTAAAGGAAAAGCAATCTCCAATGTTAAACTATATCTGTAAATTTCCTTAATATTCTTTTTTTAGTCAACTGAGACCCTTAATGTTGCTTTAATGTAAAATTGTATATTTTTGTCTGTGATATACTTTATTAATTTAAAGTAATAGTTCTAAAGCCTTCACTGTTGGTATTAAAAGAAAGTAGAATTATAAAAGTGATGTTAAAGACTCTAATAATGTCATTTCATTCCAATTCAATCAAATGTGGTAAGAAAAAGACCTTGAATAGTTCCCTAGGGACAATTTCTCACTTGCCATTGACATTAATCTTTGATGTATTCTCAGAATAAATAAAAAGAAATTGAAACTGGTCCAAGGTTAGAGTCATATCCTCAATAACTTTTTTAAAAAAATTTATTAGGAAATTAATAATAGCCTTTTTCATTCTGGCTGAAAGAAAATTATTAAAAGATTAGTTGAGTGTGAAATTAAATAGTATTTTGCTCATGCATACTAAAAAGATGGACTGGAAACTTGCACTTAAACAAGTTTCCAAAAGGTTTCAATTTGATAGAAGAAGAAAAAAAAAAATCAATGTTTCCTTTGAAAATACTGAATTTATCACTTGCTGCATGGATCAGATGGCGTAGGTTAATCTTTGATTTTCAGAATCCTAATGAAATAACTTTCAAATGATTTGTGTCTATGATTAAAGGTGGAATGAGATCAAATTTTTTCCTAATCCTTCAGTTTAAGCTAATAAATGTAGGTTAATGTGGAATGAAGTCATCTGTGATATGTTTATTTATTAGCTGAGCTTTTTTGATGTTGCCTGTTTTTATGTAAAACATGTTCTTAAAGTTAATAAAATAATAATTCTTGGTGTATGAACTACTACATAATACCCTAGCTGCTGGGTCTAACTCCTCAGTTCACGTTGCTATCATGGAGTGCAATTTCATTTAGTTCAATTCAGAATTGACACATTCGGTCCACGAAGGAATAGCCCAGCTGTGTTCTTGGGGGAAACTCTCTCTAGGCGAGGCTTTAAAAATTAGTCATGCGGTCAGAGTGTAGCTTTCCCACATGTCCTCCACAGCACAGTGTGTATTTCATGAGCATAATTCAAAAACAGCTATTCCAAAAATGTCCCTTTTCATATATTACCTTCCTGCCTGGGCCAGTGACTTGGATAAACACAAAGAAATCAAATACCATTCAGCCCTATTTTATCCTTCAACCTATATGCACAAGCTCTCCAGAGAAGAGTGTTGTTTTAGCCACTAAC